GTTGATTCATAAACAAAAGAAACAAGGTACAAAGTTCAGCACAAAACACAGCCACAAGAAGCTGACAACTTGGCTAAAAATGTCAGAGTACAACACAGAGCCAAGGCTACCCGTTATTTGCTGTGTACTTACTGAAGTTACACATTTCAGATGTGTAAGTTAAGAACTGATAACAAAATTATCTCTACTTTTGCCCACTGTACTAAACTAATTTGTTTATAATATGGTAAATGTGCTATTGCATAAACACTCCAAAGCAATCTTCATTACAATGCTGTGAAGAAAACTCCATATGCTGCATCCGAAACTCAGGATGTCAATGCAGTTCACAGTACGCGTAATAAATACCCTCTTCCCTTTCAAATATTAAAGTCACTACTTTCTAATTACTTAGCATAACCTTGAAGCAACTATTAGAAATATCAACACAAAATTAAATCACTTGAATAATGAAAACAAATTAGTGGCAATTAAATCTGTAATACAAACAGTGCAAAGAAAAAGCATGGAAGGAAAGGGGTAATCCTATTGACGTGAGGTTCAGATTCTCATAAAAAACCCTGCAAGTTGTATGCTACAACATGTTACAAGCCAATACTATGTTTGGTTTGACTCTATCGGAAGAATCAGAACAAATATTTGTAAGACAAACTTCCTGGCTGGCTAAATTGCACTCAATGTTAAAAATAAAAAATCTACTGAAGTTAGTTACTTTTAGGGGAAGCATTTTTACACATCCTTTCCTATTCAATCAAGGTAGTGAAGTGCCATTTTTGAGCCGATGACTTGCAAAACAAACAAATGCCATCGACACTGAAAAAATTCTGAATACATACTTCAAGGTTCTACTATTTCTCTATAAACTAGGCAGTCCCTCAAAACTGTAACACTTTGAACTGCAGTGCTCCACACAGTTTAAGATGTCTTCCAAACGCAGACTGTTTGTTTAGTGGTAAATCCTAAGCTGTGCAGGCTGTAGCTTTATACAACATCAGCTGCCTTAGGAAAGTTAAGTACACAATTAAGTTACTCTTCCAAGTCGTGGACAAAACCGATCCAAATACAATATAGCCTAAAACGCATCTGCTTAAGCCAGTAAGTTTAAAGTACACAGACACTTATGGCAGCATAATTACTTCTGTGTAAGGTAGCCATGGCCTATCATTTTGCAACAGCATCCAAGTGTACGTCTTCATGCTTTACTCATGTTAAGTCCCTTGTGCTAGCTTCCACCAAGATGAACTTGCTGTTTTGTAAACTGAAGTGCTCTAGTTTAGTATCACATGAGAGAAGGTTCCATTTAAAAAGCATCCTTGTATGTTTGTGCAGTTTAAACTAAAGAAACCCATCCCTGCCTTTGTAAGAAATAAAAAAATTAAATGCTACATTGAGCAAGGATCAGGATCAGTACCTGTAAACACTGTTATTCCACTGCATCCGTTACAGCAAAAGTAACTTAAGACTAAAAAGCCACTCCAATCCGTTCCGAACTTCTGTGCTGGTTTTGAAATGGTGGCGTCCGTCTACAGGCTTTTAAAAAAAACTGAAGCAGAGCTTAAAGCTGCACCACAGAGTTCTTTTAGTCCCAAACTCTGCCAAACATCCTATGACATTTCCACGTTTATGGACTGAAAAAAAGAAATTACTCTTGATAAACCAAGATATAGTTCTATACATATAAAGACATCACTGATGTCATAAAGTTCAAACTCCCAGTGAAAGACTAAGCAAACCTGATAGCTCCCATCAAGTTTACTACTACTGCATAAAGTAGCCACTGTTTGTTTAGCTTTCCACAGTCATTCTGAGTGAAGGGCAGCATGTTGGTGAAGAGCGTGGGTACTGATAAAACCATTTGTCTCATTTGCAGACAGACTGCTGAAGTCAGCCACTGAAACAGCCATTTTGGCACTGGTAATATGGTGTGTGTGGTTCTCGAAGTCCACACCAAGGTTATTTACAGAGACATCATTCATGAAAGACTCTGGGACAGCAATTCCCATTTTCAATCTCTTTGCAGGTCTTTCTGCCTCCTCACTGCACATGTTCATTGAGTTTAGCTCTGAATGATAAAAGCCAGTCTCAAATAAATTAAAACAATCACTTTCACCATTGCTGGGCAAGTTAAGCAATTCTTCTGGTCCAACAGGCACATGATTAACTGGTGCTCGGGATAAGCTGTCTATAGGAGGAAAGGTGTCATCCAGGCAGTTCACGTCTGAAGTGTGGCAGACTGTAGCTACACTGTTTGTCAATGCTGGAAAACAAATGATCACAAATGCAAATGAAACAGTTGTTTGCATAGTTACAACAAAAATACTCTTTTTTTTCTCCTTGATTTACCTGTCAACTCATTGGCCGTGATGGAGTTCAGAATGCTTAGCTGCTGATCGGGAATAGTTTCTGTTCGACTATTAGATGTTAAGGCTGAAGAATGCACTGCTCCACCAAGGGCTTCTGCTTCATCTACCAAACGATCCATGTAGTCCCTAAAAGAATATTGCATCCATCATGTATTATTTAGCTGGAAAACAAAGCCTAAAAATTATGATGGATTTAATTTCAGTTGCCACAGTCACTGTAGCATTACACTGCAATGACAGAAGGAAAAAAAAACACTTAAATTTATGATTTGCAACAGAAAACATATTCCAACAATATTTTACTTACGTAACTCCTGGATGATGGTTGTATCTCTTCTTTCCAAATCTTGTTTGCTGAGCAAAGTAATCATAGCGTTCTGACTTTTTCCACATGTAATAGAAAGCCACACACTCAGCAACTGTTCTGGTTCTTACCTAAAAGAAGGCAAGAAGGATTGATAAGATTAATGCAAAGACCTATGTTTTGTCATCTCACCAATATTGTTAGTTTTATTGTTTTAGTATCTGGAACAAAGGAATTTAATCAGTAGACTTCAAAGAGATACACAGTTTCAATAAGTATTACACTTGTTCTACTGTATGCATTATTGGCTTTTTAAAAACTAGATTGAAACTGTATCTACATCTGAAGCTTTTATATATTTATAAATATATGTAACATTTTTTAAAACTATAAAGACTCTCTCTTAAGATGGAAAAGCTGACCAATTCAATCACCTATGAGAAGTAAAGCAGAAAACACTTTGGGTACTTTTCCTTCTGGGAAAGTCCAGAACTGTGGAGGCTTTGACAACAGAGAATCACAACAGTAAATGCTTTAACAACAAAATAAAATTGTAGCCTTGTTGAGAAGGCATAAAGAACTCAAAAGACTCGTTTTGATCTACATTAACTGTTTGTCTCTTTCCCCTAAATGGAGATTGCTTTTTGAAGTCAGATTCTTGGAGAATCTAGCTTCTACCCACATTCTTATAAGTTATATCCATTTTTAGATGCAGAAACATTTCACAGCAGCAGCAGCCCACAGTTCCAGTTTAAGTTTTACAACTCTAATATACAACTCTATCCAGCTATAGTCTGGCAGTAAACTATATTTGAGCTTAATCCAACTTACAGAAACATCAGAGGCAAACCTAAAGTGCCGTATGTGTAGTAGTAAACATTGCTAATTTAGACACAAACATAACAGGAAAGGGTGGAAATGCACAGATGTCCATATGCTATTACATAAAGTCCCAGTTAACAACGCTCTGCAGTACAGTGATAAGGAAATATCTCTTGTTAAATTTCTCCACACACTAAATTTTGTCTAGCTGATACTTTCCATATACAAGTGATATCTGTTTATTCTGGGTCACAGAACTTTCCCTAAACTTTCTGGCGTTTTACCTACCAGTGGATTTATTGGACAAGTTCTGGTCCACAGGGACAGATACATCAACTCACATACCTTGTTGCACGTTGGAAAAAATATTTTTAAATTATTTCTCTGCATCTCTGATGAATTACTGTTTATTGGTAAGGTCCATTTAAAATCTGAACAACCCAAATATTACTTAGGACAGGTTAAACCAAGTATTAAGCAGGACTAGCTGATTTTTGTTGAACAGCAACCACAATCCTATAAAGTTTACCTGAAATATAACAAAAACACCAGACTCCTAAAGAAAACAATTCAACATGGTATCAAAAAGCATAAAGGATATATACAGGAAATCTGGAAACATCCATACTGTCAACTGTTGCTTTTTTATTAAAAAAACCCCAAACAACACAAACCAATTCTTCAGGCACAGAGGAGTCAATCAGAAGCAATCCAGATCAAGTTTAGAACTCCTTTGCTGGCCAGAAAACAGTACTGATGGATTACTACACTTTCTGAAAACATAAAGAGCTAAGCCTGTTTCTGTAAAATCAGACCTTCCTGGTGCTGAAAATAAGTTAAGATGCATTTTCCTCTCCTGCAGCCATGGGACAGAAATACTGTACTTCTAGGAGAGGCTCACATTTAATCTAAACTATAATATAAATGCATAAATGGAAGTAATGTCACCTTAAGTTGATTTCAGAGAGAATACACTGACTCATCTTACAATGCCTAGCTTTTCCAATGACATCTGAGAAAAAATTAGTACAAAAATGCCAAGCTGGTTTTAATATGCTGGTTCTTATTTCAGTCTTCTGCATGGCTTCTGCCAAATGTATTATTTTACAGTTTTTCAGCATCATATCATCTACCAATTATTCCATTTAACTATAAAATACTAACCTTGTTTTTCTGTATGAGATGAAAGTCTTTTCCATAAAGCAGAAGTGCATGTTCAAAGCTTCGGCATTCTTCTTCTGTCCATGCTGTCATCTCTTCTAGGCAATTACAAAAGTAGCATGATAAACTTGTTTTCACTCACTAACCTTTTATAAAGAATAAAACATTTGTTGCTAATGGAATATCCAAATGTATCCTAAAAAACCCAATAGTTCAGCGTTCAGATCCATGTTCTTTACTGTACAGATATCCTACGTGAAATCTATCATTCTTCTTTATAAAGAAAAAACAAGGTTTAAGAATATCTCAGAAGTATCATTGAGATATTTTTACTGAATATTTCTTCTCACATAGGACACAACAGTGGTTCCTGGAAAAAAAGAGGGAAGAAACCGCCTGTTGTGACAGATGCCCCTGCTCTGAGTGAGTGAGCAGTACTTTGATTCAGGCATCACTGGCAAGCCCTGCCTGAGATCAGCCCTGCTGTGCAAACCATGAGAACTGTG